AGGAATGCCAAGTCTCCGCTTTGCTGGAGGCAAAGCTCCTAGTAGAGGGGCTGAATGGAAATGACAAAGGCCCACGGACGAGTCTGAACTGCCTCCAGTATGTACAGGACAAGAGGCACAGCCCAAACACCTTAATCTGAGGAGAAATCACTATCCAGGATGGCAGAACACCCCACCCCCACCCCCGTTCCCCCCAACGAATGAACAGGCAATGCAGGATGGATCTCAAAAAAGAAACGTGGCATTTCTTGAGTGAGGAAATGACAAAGGCCCACGGACGAGTCTGAACTGCCTCCAGTATGTACAGGACAAGAGGCACAGCCCAAACACCTTAATCTGAGGAGAAATCACTATCCAGGATGGCAGAACACCCCACCCCCACCCCCGTTCCCCCCAACGAATGAACAGGCAATGCAGGATGGATCTCAAAAAAGAAACGTGGCATTTCTTGAGTGAGATTTCATACTTACCTGAAAATGTAGAGCAACAGCCGGTTTAGCCATTAAGTTATTAAAATGCTCATGAAACTGCGGGGAAAGAATATCCTGGGACAAAGTTTCATATGGATCAAAGGCTTGTTCCTAAAGAAAGATCGAAATAATTATGTATGTACAGAAAAAGGATGCAGGATGTCTTTTTGTACTCAGCTTGTACAATTTGTTTATTGAGATCTGATATTTAATGTGATTTTTCAAGAAAGTTTCAGTTTATTCAAAAAATAATACAACTCAACGTATCCCATAATTCATTAATTTATATTTTAATAGCTACATAAAGCTTTTGTGAGCACTGCTCTACCTTGCTGTATTGGTCATTAACACAAATTTCATCTTAATGAAATGGTGGCAGCCAAGAGGCAAATTCTTATTTATGGTCCATTAGTGATCTCATCGCCAACAAGGCACGGTTTGAAAAAGCTTCTCTTACATGCATGAAACCACGATTACTTACCCACTGTAACTGTAGTTCTCTGAGGTATACAAAACTGGTATCCCCATCTGCAAAACTAATCTGAGGATGCGAGTACCATGGATATAAAGCAGATATCCACAAATCCACAGGATTCTAGAGACATTTGTATCTGCATTCACAAAAATGAGCTGCAGATGTCCGCATCCATATCCAGGGATGCAGATACCATGGGTATAAAGCAGCTATCTGGATTTGCAAAGTCATCAGCATGGATTCCACTTAGATGATCATGTGCCTCACACATGCAAGAAATCTCATGTCGGGAAGATCAGCCCTAAGTTCTTGGAGCTCACTCCCCTCTCTGCTGGCCAAAGTGCTTGCAGCTAGGAAGAATGACTTCAGAAAGAAATAAGGTAAAAAGCAGTCTCAATAGGGCGACATTGAGTTCCTACATCTCCTGGGGGTGTCCAGGACAGTCCCTAACTGTGGTATTGAGCCAGCCAACATCCAAGCTGCCAGGCGCAGAGACGTTAGGTCAGGATGAAGATCCAGGCACCATGGGAGCCGATTCAATGGCTGAATGGACCTCTATAGTAGGTCTGTCAATCAAAACTGCTGGTGTCAATGTAGTGCTATGAGAATTCCCATTGCTGTGACTCCTGAATTGGGTTCAACTGAAAGCAGGTAGGTGTTGTGCAATGAGTCTGGAACAGAGATGAGAGTGGGTACTGTCCTCGGTGATGAACAGATCTAATACACAAACTCCACCCCCTGTCCCTTCTGACAGAATACCGCCACTACAACACCACTCTGCAGGAACCATTCATGACTGGCCATGGTTACCTTCTCTAGGTCAATGCTGACTCCTGGGAAGTGAACAACCACTGGGCTTATTCTCCTGCCCCGCTCCCCCCCACCTTTGTTGCTGGTGCCAAATCTAGAATTTGACCACATTCCAGAAGAGGGGCGAGGAGTAGGCATCTCTGTGTTTATGCAGTCCATCACAGGTTCTGCACTACGGAATGTCAGAGGACAGGCAGGAACACTACACAGGCCAGCCTCATGGCCCTTAGTTCAAGGATGTTTATGGGAACTTCCATAACTCCCATAACCTCCAGGAAAAGCAGATACCTAACATTTGCAGGTGGTCCAAGTAGATTCCATAACTTTTCCTGGATGCATCTGTGCCTGAAGTCTTTATTGAGTAGGGAGATAAAAACAAAAACTCTGCAAAAATACGAAGTGGCCCCAAAAAACTTACAGTCTGTCCAACATCTTGGATGGGAATAGGTTAACTTGAACCAAAGCAGCAGCAGCTGTGGGTGAAGTAGCATCACATACAACCATACTGGCATATGGCCTAACAACCCAAGGCAAGTCTGTGCCATTGTAGCGTGATCTTATCTCGCCAGGAACCTGTACTCTGATGGACTCTAGGTCACAGTGGGCATGCCTATCATAACTCCAATGAACTGTATCCTCTGCATCACAATTCACTAGGACAACGCTTGGGCCAACAGGAAGGGAGCATAATCTGGGTTCACTGCAGCCTTTGACCAGCCAGTTATCCAGATAAGTGCAGACATACACGCCCCATCTCTTTAGATTTGCTGCAACCACCATTAGCCAGGTTGTGAAGACTCTCATTGCTGTGGACATTTAAATAACATACCACGTGATAGCAGTAATTTGGCCTCACTGTGATTCTCAAATACTTCCTGTGAGCAGGGTGAATCTCTCTCAAGAAGGAAGAGACCCTCTCTCATCTAAGGAAATAATATTTCACAAATAAGATGTGGAATTGGCCCAGAGGGGGGCCCATTGTTTGGTTGTGGCTATCAATATGTGTTATGGGTCAGTGCCAGGGTCCTTCATTCTGTGTCATTCCCACCTTGACAGACTTGAGGATCTCCCCTTGGAATCAAATTTCACAGTCTCCTTGTGGGACAATCCCCAATGTTGGTTCTTCAGTCATGCTCTATGCAGCTTTGTCTCAGTACTGTCCTTCTGCCACCAAGGGCATAGGCTCCAAACTGAAGCAATCAGCACTGAAGTCACTTGTGTTGAAAGCATCAAAGCTGATGGCAACAGTTTTGACAATCAGCCTATTAAGTTGCCTCTTTCACTACCTGCTTTTGGAGTGTAGTGGCTGAAACCGACTCTTTTTAAATTAAATTAAATTAAATTAAATTAAATTAATGGAGATTGCCTATCTCCTAGAACGGACCTTGAAAGGTCACTGAGTCCAGTCCCGTGCCTTCAAAGCAGGACCAAGTACCATCCCTGACAATTTTTGCCCCAAATCCCTAAATGGCATCCTCAAGGATTGAACTCACAAGCCTAGGTTTAGCAGGCCAATGCTCAAACCACTGAGCTATCCCTCCTTTCACTTCCACTTTGGTAGCTGTCATTTCCCCTGGGTCTGAGATGACCCACATGGATCACTCAAACAATGTAACTTGAACTATGAGTCCCTATAGTTACAGGTTCTAGAGGATAACAACTGACATGCCAAACACCTTGGGATATAGCTCCAGGGAGAGCAGGCAAGAGCTGTGTCTATCAGTAAGGAGTATGAGACCATCATAGAATGGACACGGTTTGAACCCTGATGGTTTAGAGCAGTCTTCAAACTTTTTTCATCCGTGGAGCACTAAAAAAAATTTCAAATGGAGGTGCAGACCTCTCTGGAAATCTTAGACAACCTGCGGACCCACAGAAATCCACAAATCTCAGGTTGACACCCTCTGGTTTGAGTCTGCCATTTTGGTGCAAAGCACCTTGCCCTGCTACACGGGAGGTACACCAGGGTCTCGTCTCCATTTTTAATGCAATGTTCAAATTAAAGGAAACAAGGGAGAAGACTCTCTGTTCACCACACTATACCAGAAAGGGTGAGTTAGAAGCCCTGTGGAAGTAGCAGATTGGAAAGTGGCTAGATGGCATCTCACTGCCATGAGCGGTTAAAGGGAACCGAAGGAGGGCCATGACTGCTGTTCCCTTGCTAAGGTTGCATGGGAGCACAAGGCCCAGATAAAAGAATCCCAGTCTCACATGCAGGAGGCATAGGAGCATCTACCACAGTGGGATCCACACAAGCATATCTAACACCACATGTTTTTCTACTTGCTGTCTGGTTACAACTGCTCTAGTTAAGGATGCATTAGAACATTCTGTGTTCGGAAGCTCAATTCCCTGAAACTTTCGCCACCGAGGCATTTTCCATTCGTGGGCTCTGCCTGGAGATTAATTTTTTAAAATTTTGGACAAATTCCTTCAACTGTTTTTCTGCTGAGAGACCAACCAGCAGATTTGTTTAACTTCACAATAAAACAAAAAAGAATGATATAAAAGCAGATGAACTTACTCTTGTAGCAAAACCACATATGTGGAGGAATAGGGTTCCCAACTCGGACCATGTGGTGGTAAGAGGGAACTGAAAGGACACTGATCAGCACAAACTAATGCAACCTTTCCTGAGACAAAGCTACATTCAACGAATGTGTGTGGGTCAGCAGACATTGCTACTAAAATCTTCTGACTCTGACATACATAAAAACCTGCATCTGGAATATATGCAGGGACAACCATGTCAGAATAATCATAACATGCTAATGTAGAAAAAAACTGCACTCTGGGAACAATGCTGACTAATATCTGAAAGCTGCAATTAAGCATTAAAACAGTTCTGGTTTTTAAAAAACTGGTTTTGATTTGACAAACTTATGAGAATCTTCAGCTTGTGTAGTGAGCGCACACAGCAGATTTTTACACCATCACATACATGTTTTAAAGGTATGTTTTATTCAGTGTCCATGAGACCTAAACGAATACATGGAAGTTCCACACTCATACATGCATATTTCAGCCCTTTCCTGCTTTAGATCATTTGAGGAGGTTATCAACATGTACTATAATTATCATTTTAAAATTGTTATGTGGCCAAAAAATCAAAAAGAGGGCTTTCCCAGAATAGTAAAATATCACCGGTCTAGAAAAATCCAAACTTATGGTGGCACCGAGACAGCCAGAAGGAAAAGTAGAGCTCCTGGCACATTGACCCCTCCCATGGTCCAGCAAACACCCTGGTTCAGGACCTATCAGGTCCCGACGGTGTCGGCTCAGGGATGTTCAGCCTGTAGTTTATTCCGATGGTCAATCTCTCTCTCTGTTAAATTTGTGCCTTATTCTTAAATTGCATTCATCTGGCTTGAACTTCTAACCACTAATGGTCATTATGAAAGTCTCAGAGGGGAAGCCGTGTTAGTCTATAACTTTAAGACTAGTCTATAACTTTAACACTGCTTTTAAAAACAAGGAGTAGACCTGTGGCACCTTAGAGACTAACAAAAATATGTATATAGTATTATGAGCTTTCGTGGGAAAAACCCACTTCTTCAGGTGAGATGACCTTAAATGGAGGGAAAAAAGAGGGACCCTCAAAATAAGAAGGGAGAAGGAGGGAAAAAGTTACCTGTCAACAGACTAATTGGGTGGACTGGAAGTGTCCCATATTTAGCTTTTGATGTCAATAGGGTATTGAACGTAAGGAAAGCTGGTGTTAACCAGTTCAAGTCTTTGTTGAAGCCAAAGGAGTCTGTCAAATTTGCATACGAAGATAAATTCTGCACTCTCTCTTTCTATAGTTGGCTTGTGAAATTTCAAATAATGGAATCAATAGAATACTAGAATTGGAAGGGACCTTGAGAGGTCATCGAGTCCAGTCCCTTGCCCTCACGGCAGGACCAACCACTGTCTAAGACCATCCCTCATAGATGTCTATCTAACCTGCTTTTACATATCTCCAGAGATGGAGATTCCACAACCTCCCTAGGCAACTTATTCCAGTGTTTAACCACCCTGACACTTAGGAAGTTTCTCCTAATGTCCAACCTAAACCTCCCTTGCTGCAGTTTAAGCCCACTGCTTCTTGTTCTATCCTCAGAGGCCAAGGACAACAATTTTTCCTCCCTCCTCTTTATAACACCCTTTTAGATACTTGAAAACCATTTGTCATGTCCACTCTCAGTCTTCTCCTTTCCGAACTAAAAAAGCCCAATTCTTTCAGTCTTCCCTCATAGCTCATATTCTCTAGACCTTTAATCATTCTTGTTGCTCTTTTCTGGACCCTCTCCAATTTCTCCACATCTTTCTTGAAATGTGAGGGCCAAAACTGGACACAATACTCCAACTGAGGCCTAATCTGTGCAGAGTAGAGTGGAAGAATGACTTCTTGTGTCTTGCTCACAACACTCCTGTTAATGCAGCCCAGAATCATGTTTGTAGAAGAATGCAAAAGAATGGCTACTTTTAAGTCCATTAATGAGTGCCAGAGCAGGTTAAAATGTTCCCCTACAGATTTCTGTGTGCTACCATTTCAAATATCTGATTTGTGTCCATTAATCCTTTGTGAGAGAGAGAGAGTCCAGTTTGGCCAATATACATGGCAGAGGGCCACTGCTGTCGCTTAATGGCATATGTCAGACACTACTATTTTTAAAAGTTCCAGCATTGAGCTCATCATGCATACATATTACCCTGAGTGGAACGCCAACAGGGACCATCAACTGAAGAAGTTCCTAGTGTAGACCAGCCCTTCATGTAATTCTGAAAGTGAATTAAGCTAAACCAAATTATAGTAATGCATTCCTAATTAGAGTGTACACAGGTTTAATGCAATTTTGCTAATCCACTTTAAAAATCACACTAAAATTCAAATTAATTTTCCTCAATGTCCCCAAGTAGACAAGCCTCAAGTCTCTCATTGTAAGGAATCTTCAAATTATTTTTGTGGCTCTATTCTGCACTCTGTCCAAATTTACAACATCCTTTTTAAAATCTGACACCAAAAATGGATGCAGAATTCTAGTATCTGTGCCACCAATGCCATATACAGAAGTAAAAATCAGCTCCCTACTCCTACTCCCTTGTTTATAAATCCACAGACTGCATTAACCCTTTTTGCCATAACACTGGTGTTGTTTCGGTGGCAGGCCAAAGCCACCTTTTTTATTTGTGCTTTTATTAATGTTTGAGTTTGTATGTGTGTGTTCCTCCTCTCTATATGTTTTTAGCTGGTTATGTCCCTCTGGGGTCTCATATTTTAAGTTTTTATATATATTTGTATTGTTTGTAAGCCACCTTGAATATTTTAAATAGAAAGGCGAGGTAAAACATTTTAAATAAATTAAATAAATATCACACCTGCAAGTCATGGTAAGCTGTCTGCCCGCTGTAACCCTTAAATCACAGACAGAGTCACTGCTTTCCAAGATACAGCCATCCATTCTGCATGCATGGCCTGCATTCTTTGCTTTTGGATGCACAATCTTGTATTTCACTATTAACATCTATGTTGTTTGAATGAGCCCAGCTTACTAAGCAATCTAGATTGCTCTGTATGACTGCCTCAGAACATGCCATCTAGAGTCTATTCCACTAAAGCTTTACAACCATGGACACTACCTTATTATGAAGATACAAAATATTCCTATGAAGGGATTTTAGAAACTCACCTCAGCCAGATCTTCAAAGCAGCTGCCAGCCAAAGGGTGAGGGCTACTTTCATCTGTCATTTCAACAGTATCCTCAATCAACCCCAAGAGCTTCACGGTCAATTCATGAATATCTGAAATGTTGCTAAAGATCATGTCGATATCCTGGAAAAAAGGTGTGATTTAGTAATACGTGTTACCATTTCCTTTACTCTTTCACAGACAGCCAAGTGTTTAACAAAGTCTGAGCTATGCAAGCCTTGTCTACATGGAGAGCAGTGTTAGGGCACACGTAGCTTACGTGTTAGAGCACATTCAGCTTGCAGTAAGAACAGGCTGCATCCACCCTGCCGGAGTGGAGCCTCTCTTCACTGCTGGAGCCTTTTCGTGCCTCCTCCACCATGCCAGAGTCTCTCTCTACAGCAGGGAAAAGCTCCAGCAACATAGTGGCAGCATGACACTGCACTGCTAAAAGTAGCAGTGTAGACTACTAGGGCATATGGAGAGCCATGAAGGGTATACACCCACAGGATTCAAGCATATCTTTACTCGCCTAAACAATGCTTCACTGTCTACACGCAGCCATATCCTAAACAGGGAGGAGATAAGAGAGAGAAAAGGGGAAGGAAGTCATATTCCAGGCATCAATTCAGGCTGAGGTCGCATGCTTGGGATTCACTTTAATCCAACGCTGCACAATTTCTACTTGTAAAAGCCCAAGGGTGTGGTGCAGAGGCTACATGTTATTAATTGGGTAGAACAATGTACACTGACAAGCCACAATCAGGGGGAAGGGGCAATGTAAAGCTGTTATTTCCCCTTCTCCACCCTCCTTGCTTTTTTCTCTCTCTGAACTTAAAAACTGAAGTGAAAATTTAAAAACAGCCCTGAACCCGGGTCTCAACAACAAAACCTTATGATCCAAGCTGTCTGTTCATTTCATTAAAGTGCTACATTGTCCTGCATTTTGTTCATTTTCAGAATACTTTAACTGTGCTTGCAGAGTGAAGTGGTAGCTTCTTTTGTCAAGTCCTGCTTCTCGTGTCCCATCTCAGACACACCCCTATCTGGGAAGTCTTCCCCACCCCATCCTCCTCTGACTCCAACTTCTGAATGACATCTGTTTCTTCTCCAGTTACCTCCAGCTATGTCCCACTCTCCATTCAACTCCATGGAATTCATCCCATCTCTCCCCGGCCACACCCTAACCCTCAAATCTCTCTCCTTTCACAAATCAATTTTCCCCTTTCCCTTTTAATTAAGGTAAATTACCAAGGTTTCACATCAACTTTTTGAGAGACCACGGAAGACTCTCTTCCTAGCACTCTCTTTCCTAGGAACCCCAGCTCCTCCACCTGCTACTATGCGGCTTGTTTGGTAAAGTGCAGGTGTATAATTGCGTAAGGATTGGACTTTCTACTCACATGATCCTCTGGCGCTGTAACTATTGTTTGCAATTAACAGGGAACCTTGTTTTTTAAATCTTGCTCTGAGAATATTCAAAGACTGCTATCTGCAGCACTTCCCCCTTATTTCAGGCATCTGTCACCACTTCTGCTATATATTAGGATACATTTAACAAAATTTTACCTACTCTGCTACAGTGAATGTAGATTTGCTAAGTTATGGATAAAAATGGATATGAAAGTATTTAAGCATTAAAACACAGTAATCTACTAAAAAGAGACTTACATAAGATGTGAACAACTTTCTGTTAGACAGGAAAGCTTCCCGAAACACTTTTATTATCAGATTCAACTCCCGTAGATACTGTCTTTCTTCTGCAATTTCAGATCTCACTAGGTCATAGTAATTGAGTTCACCTGAAGAAGAGGGCTCATCTTCACACAGCGAAACCAAACCAATAACATCCTGATCAAACATATCCATCAAAACCTAGCAAAGAGTTAAAGTCAAGTTTTATACAAGTCTGAGTTCTATCATTCATTCAAATGTAATGGTCTCAATTTGTTCAAAAACGAGCCAACTGTTTTTAACACAACGCTTTCTGTAACAACCACCACAGGGAACTAACATTGAATCTTTGGCAGCGTCAATTACCAATGCTGGGTTGTTGTTCTTTTTATAATTTACTGCAGCAGAAAAACAAGTTAGGATGTGAAGAAAAAGGATTCAGAAAAAACACAAGGCATCTTGCAAAAGCTTTTGCCTGATGAAGAACCCAGCAAAAAAAGTTTCTGAACAATTTAATAAAGATGAAACTAGAAAGACTTTTTCCCCCCTAAATCACAGAGTGGAGAATCTTCCATTACAAAAATGTGTTATAATAATGATAACATAATAGTAGGATACAGCAGGAAACTAAAGGACAATATTTTTAAACAAAGTGCTAAACCATTTAAACACCACTAGAGTACATCAATTATTTCTTACCTTATCCGCACACATAGACACCTTAATGTCTTGCTGGGAGATTTCAAAATGTCGGATATTGAAAACATAATTTCCAGCCAGTTTCAAAATGTCTGCAGAGATATATTCCAAAACAGCCACAATGTAAAGGCAGACATTATAATCTACTTTATAGCCTAGAACCTCCTGCAAATTAAACACAAAAAAACCACAGTAAAAACACCATCATGCCTGAAAGTTATTCTGAATTTGAGCACCATATTTGAAAAGAAAGATATTAGCATTTTTACCAAAAGGACCTTTACTAACATGCTGATGCAATAGCCAGAGCACAGAATGGAAAACAGGAGTCTTTGACCAACAATATTTACCAAGGAGAAGCTTGGAAACATGTCACTATCATGCTATGCCAGCTACAGAAACATGAACACTTATGGAAATATCCTTCTCTATATGCAACAAAAATATTACAGCTTTTCAAAGCCCATTAAAATTAAATAATTTCAGTGGAACCACTGACGTGCTTAAAATTAAGTACACCTAAGTCTATGCAGAAAATGTGTGTGCCTCTTTCACTGAATTAAAGATTGTATGCTCTTAATCTCTTGGAGTCTAGAATATAGATTAGCCTACCCACCATCCTGGAATCTTTGGCCACCGTAACAAGACAGTATACTGTGCTAGATGGACCAGTGGTTTGACCCAGAATAGCTGTTTTTATATAACTTTAAATAAGAATTAAGTGTTCAGACAAAACACGTGTGCAACTGAAGGAATCAAATACTTACTCAGTACTCAAATTTTAATATGAAAGGGTTAATTAAGCTTTGGGAGAATAGAAAGTAGATTAGAAGAGAAAAACAAGGAAGACATTATTCCCTTTTCAAAAACATTTCTAACAGGATATGTTTCATGCTCTCTTGAAGGTTTACTTCACTCATACCTTTTGTCTGATATACATGTGTGTGACAGGACTATTACAAATAAAAACAGAGTCCTGTGCATTTAGTAATATCATTAATCTTGCATCATGGCATTGTGTAATTTCAGATGCATCATTTAAAATCAGCTACTACATGCTACCTGCTTGTCTATTAGTTGATTTTACAAGTGAAATGAGTATCTCTAGAAAGAAAAGCATTATTCAGAGATGTTGGGGTTCCTTCACAACCGCCAGTTCCAACCTCTGTAGTAAACTAAGACACGATACTCAATAAATAGGCTTATTATTATTATTCCACACAGAGAGAGAGAGAGAGAGAGAGAGAGAGAGACAGACATTGGTAAGACTTCCAGACGAAGAACACAGACTGCAAATATGTATTCCATTTTTATGCTAGTTACTAACTTTTTTCAACAATACTACCACCTGAGATAAGGAATTTCATTTTACATTTTAGAAATATGTAGCATGGAGAGAAATAGACCAACAACACTTTAATATGAAGAAACTTTTGCATTTTTAAAGAGTGACTAAAGATGAAAAATTAGTGGATACTCTAAAACTAATTCAGGCTAACCCTATACTTTAAAAAATACCTTTAGAAAAATCAACAGAATGTGCATGAAATTGAATTTCCAGTCTCTCGTTGGTTTCTTCAAATTCAACCAGTGGCACTACTAGTGAAGAGCTAGGACCACTAAATTTGGTATGCAGCTCTTATCATAACTTAAGCAAGACTAGGGTTTGGTTGTGCCAGGACAATGGGATATGTAAGGAATGTGATTGTTTCATATCAAATAGAAAGAGAGGGGTGTGAGAGCAAGGCCAGTTATACTCATAAATGACCGCAGGGGGGCAGCAAACGCCCCAGCCCTGGGGCGTTCCCACCAACTGGGGCACATGACCCCACAACGCCCCAGAGAGAAGCCTGTAGGCAGCCTACTGCCTCCTTTCCTCTATCCCGGACACGGATGTAAATACTGGCAGCTCATTTTTGTGGATGCAGATCCACGTTGCATATGGAACCCACCAAATTTGAGGATATCTGCTTTATATCCATGAGCATTCACATCTCCAGATATGATGTAGATATCTACAGCTCATTTTTTCAAAATTTTGTATCCACGCACAGCTCTATTCAGTGACACTTTTTTACTTCAATGGGCCTGCACAAATGCCACCAAGTATCCAGTCCTTAGTTATTTTGGCTCTTTAGTGCCAATAAAAAGGAGTAACTGCCGATACTGAAGATGACCAGATAGAACTCTGAATACTCTGCAAAGAAGCAGATGTGTGAAGTAAGATGCCACCATTTTTTACATAGTTAACTGTTCAGAGTAAACTTCTTAAATAAGTGAAGTCTAAAACAAGAGAGATGTAAAAGTCTGGTTTAGCGCTACATTTCTATGAACACAGTATACCAAGATGGCTAGTTTTACTCTTCCAATAAACATCAGAAACTGATCTGGATTTGTCTTTTCTTTTCTATGATAGTTTACACACAATTAAAACACTACGCTAAACAAGAAAAACGTAGCTTAGAGTAAAAATGAACTCTTAGGCTTATTTTAAATACCTTTAATAGGGGATGTATCTTGTCCACAGGTAGTAAGAGAGGGTTTCTTCTTTTTCGTTTCTCTATAGCAGACTGTGCATCAGCAATAGCCCACTTGTCGATCGGATGAGGAAATGTCTTTTGAACTCGCTCCTGCCCAAACAAAAGAAATGCAATTTAACTAGTCAGCCTACAGAAATTTTGTAAAACAGTCAATCGCCTATTTTCCTTATACATGTTTTACCCCACCATTTCCTTGTTCCTAAAACCTCGTTTAAACTACAAGATAAGGTTGAATTTATTAAGGTTGATTTTTTTAGCACCTGATTTTGTAAAATCCAAGGTGTCCGTGCCCACCGTGCACAGGAATTCGACATAGCTCACAATAGTGCGTCCCCAATACAGTGGTTACTGTTGATTTTGAGATGCACTGTGGGTAGCTATCCTGCCACCCCTTTGCATTCTAGGTTCCCAGTGCTCCAAAACTGCGCAGTGGGTGGTTCTGGGTACATGTTACCAGTGTCCTATAATGCACTTGTCTCCTATCTCTCCCTCCCCCCTGCTCCCCACTTGAAAGCGATGGGGAAGTCTTTTGCACCCTTTTTTCCCTTGGTTATTAACGCAGACATAGCAGGGTAAGCATTGAACCCATTATTTTATAGCACTCACATTAACCCTGATGTGCCTTATTTTGCAGTATATCCAGAGCCCGCCAGAATGAGGAAGAATCTCGGGAGGCCATGAATATACTCTTCTACAAAGCACTTGAGTTGAGCAACTGGCAAATGGCGGCAGCATTCAATCCTCTTGACACAGTGGAACGCTTGTTCTGATGCCATGAGACAAGCACAGATTGGTGGGACTGCACAGTTATGTGGCTATGAGATGATTAACAGTGGTTGCAAAACATTCGCATGTGTATGGCCACTTTCATGGAAATTAGCAAATTGCTTTCCCCAGCCCTCAAGTGCAGGAATACCAGAATGAGACCCGCTTTGACAGTTGAGAAGTAAGTGGCAATAGCCCTGTGGAAGCTTGCAACACCAGACAGCCACTTCTTTGTTGGGAATCAATTTGGAGTGGGGAAATCTAGAGTGGATGCTACTGTGATCCAAGTAGCCAAGGCAATCAATACCATTCTGCTACAGAGGGCAGTGACTTTGGGAAACTTGCAGGACATAGTGGAGGGCTTTGCCATGATGAGATTCCTTAATTTCAAGTGGGGAAAAAGACAGAACACACATCACTCTCTTGGCACCCAACCAACCTCTTTGCCAACGAGTACATAAACTGCAAAGGGTACATCTCAATGGTGCTGCAGGCACTGGTGGATCACAAGGGTCGTTTCACCAATATCAATGTGGGATGGTCGGGAAAAGTGCACAATGCAGATATCTTTAGGGACTCCGGTCTCTTCAGAAAGCTGCAAGCTGGAACTTTCTTAACAGACTGGAAAATTAACATCGGAGGCATTGAAATGCCTATAGCGATCCTTGGAGACAAAGCCTACCACTTGCTCCTGTGACTGACTTATGAAGCCGTACACAGGCAGCCTGAACCGCAGTAAGGAGTAGTTCTACTACAGGCTGAGCAAGTGCAGAATGGTGATAGAATGTGCTTTTGGGTATTTAAAGGGAAGGGTCCGCAGTCTATTGACTAGGCTAGACTTCAGTGAAAGCAACGCTCTCATTCTTGTGGCAGCCTGCTGTATGCTCCATAATATCTATGGGTATGTCTACACTAGCCCCCTAGTTCGAACTAGGGAGGCTAATGGAGGCATTCGAAGTTGCAAATGAAGCCCAGGATTTAAATATCCCAGGCTTTATTTTCATCTTCTCGTCCGGGCGCCATTTTTAAATCTCCTTAGTCTAAACTAACTGCCCGCGGCTACATGCGGCAGTTAAACGTTAATTCAGACTAAGCCCGGGCTTCATTTGCAACTTCGAATGCGTACATTAGCCTCCCTAGTTCGAGCTAGGAGGCTAGTGTACACATACCCTATGAGAGTAAGGGGGGAAGTTAAGGCACAGCGCCTAGCCAGTAATTATGAACAGCCAGAGACCAGGGCAATAAGGAAAGCATAGCGAGGGGCACTGCAAATCTGAGAGGCTTTGAAAAACAGCTTTATACAGTAAACTTCCGATAATCCGGCACCTTTAGGACCCAGGAGGTGCCGGACTATCAGATATGCCGGACTATCAGAAGGGGGGGCTATGAGAGGTCTGGAGTGGGGTGGGAGGGGATGCCACCCCAGACCCCTCATAGCCCCCCCTTACGATAGTCTGGCTCTGCCCCAGGCGTCCCTGATTCAGCCACTGCTGGTCAGTTTCAGCAGCAGCTGAATGAGGGAAGCCTGTCTGGCTGCCCCAGCACTTCCGGGTTCCTGATGGTGCCGGACCATCAGGAGTCCCGGAGCATTGGATGCTGGACTAATGGAGTTTTACTGTATTCAATGAAACAAGTGACCCTAAAGTAATTGGTCTATGCACCCTCAAGTCTAAATTCCACTGACTGGAAAGCAATCATGCAAGTAAGGGTGTGATTTTTTTTTCTGAGACCCCTGCTTTTTTTGTGGGGGGAGGGTATATAATATTTTCTCTTAACTTATGTTTAGCTGCCAAAATCACTCTGAGAGCTATCTTAAGTTTCCTTTTTAAATATCTAAAATGAGACAGTGTCCCCAATGACTGAATTGTTTTGAATTATTGTGATTAGTTTTTATATGAATTACTGTATTGTTTAGGAGTTATGGCCATGAACCATGTACTCATTGTGCTGATTGCTGTAAAACTAAAACAAAAACACTGTTCTTGTCCCAAAGAGCTTACAATCAAAGAATAAAATGAGGACACGCTTCCCGCTGCTCTGCCCCAGGCATCCCCAAGAGCAGCAGGGGTGCTGCTGGATTGGTCCCGCAGCCCCGAGGGGCAGCGCTACGAGACCAACCCAGCAGCACCCCAGCTGCTCTGCTCCCGGCTTACCCGATTCAGCTGCTGGTCAGTTTCAGCAGCAGCTGAATGGGGGAAGCCTGTCCGGCTGCCCCAGCACTTCCGGGTTCCTGATGGTGCCGGACCATCAGGAGTCCCGGAGCATTGGATGCCGGACTAATGGAGTTTTACTGTAAATGGCCAGTCAGCAAAATGACAGTCATGCATATGATTTTTAATGAGGTGCTCCTGCATTAAGTGGGTTTGCCAGTAAACCTCCATCCCCAAAATGCATGCAATAAAGAGATTGTTCAGAAATCATATGTTTTTATTTAGGGAACGCAGAAGGGACAGAAAAGAAGTTCAGTGCAGGCCTTTGAAGGAGTGTATGATCACAGGTATGAGGACAGCTGTGGGATGCCTTCCTGTAGGTGGAGTGTGAAGCTGCCCTGGACTCCACCCTCAATAGCAGAAAAGGCACCTACGCCTTTGAAGTGTAGCAACAGCCCTAGAGCTCTTCAAAGGCGAAAGCGCCACATGGAGCCTGGGGTCAGCTGGGGACGCCCTCGCTTACCCCGGGCTCCGTATGGAGCTGCCGCTTTGAAATGCTGCTAGGAGCCCAGCATCAGGCTCCTTACAGCATTTCAAAGCCGCAGCGCCGCGTAGAGCCCAAGGTCTGGCCCAAGGCTCCACATAGCGCTGCTGCTTTGAAGTATCCCTTTTTCTCCCTCCCCCTTTGCTGCCTCTTTCTGACAGAGGCAGCTGGGGGAGGGGGAAGGAAGAGGGCGGGAAGCAACTAGTCAACTAGACCTTCACATCCCTAGTGTAGTCGATACAATTAGTATCGACTACACATTTAGTCAATAAGGGAAGGTGCTCAGAACCCTTGCTGTGGCTCTGCAGTTTAAATGTAGTAAGATCTGGGCACCCAGGCAGCCCAGCAACTACTTCATTTAAACTGCAGAGTCGCAGCATGGGTAGCTCCTGCGCCCAGCGTGAGCCAGGCTTGCTCAGTCCTGGCTTGTGCCAGGTCCAGCAGCCTTGGTCTGCAGGGGGGTTACAGCGGGGAGATGGGATCACCCACGGAGAAGGGCTGCTTCGCCGTAAAAGCTCCTGTCTGCTGGGGGTCCCAACTCCCTATTGGAACCCCCTGCAAACAGGGGATAGTACTGGAGCAGCCTCCCCTGGGCCCCCCCCACACTGCTGCCTCCAGAGGCAGCAGCACATGGGGAGCAAGAACTGCTGATATAGAGGCAGCAAGGGGAGAGGGAAATGCGAGTAGTCGACTCGACTACTCTTTTACATCCCTAGTGAGGACTTGGGAATCTTATAGGCTTAATGTTTCTTATTTATATCAGTACTGACGTAATTATTTAATAAAACAGACACCTACTGGAGCAAAATCACAACCAATAGGAGGTTATTCAACACAAACTTATTTTAGCATTCCTTTTGTATTAGAAGATAGAAATTACAGGGTTGGCAAGCAGGTGACAGTTTCTGATATGGCAAAACATTGCTCTATATTCTAGAGGGCTGGATAGCTTGGAGACTGGAGAAAGGACATGGAGCTTTTCTCCTCTTCATATAAAGTTTAAATTTAGACTCTGTGGGTGGTAGCTGGAAGTGATGAGGGCTATTAAGGAATATATACAAAATAAATTTAGCTTTATCAAAATGCTTGTACAACAATAAAAACCATCATAAACCAATATTAACAATTAACCAATTGACTCAATATCAAATAACGTGTTTAAAATCACTTGCGCGATAAGAACTTCAAACACTCCAGGCAATCAGTTTTGTAAATAAACATGCTTTATATTTTCATAAGTACTCACAAATGAGTTTTCTATAACAAATCTGTAGACTATGAGATGAGACCTTGGAGTGGACGGAAAGTGCCTTATATACATATAAAATGTATCTAATATTTTACAAAGCCAGTCAGGCTGATTCCCTTCCCCTTCCTTCCCCTCCTCCCCTTGTTTTTTTTAAGAAAGTCAATTGTGAAGTCCATGAAGGCCCTAAGGCTATGTCTAAGACTACATTCTATTTTGAACAAAGATATGCAAATTCCGCTGGAATTTGCATATCTTCTTCTGATCTCACTTTTGAAAGTGGATCTTTCAAAAGTGAAAGTAGTCTGGACGCAGTTTTTTCGGGAAAAAAATGCTCTTCCTTAAAAAATGAGGTTTACACGATTTTTTTCAAAAAAGGGTTTTTTCCCAAAAAACCCATGTTCAGACTACTTTCACTTTCAAAAGTGAGATCCCACGGAATTTGCATATCCTCTTTCAAAAACAGAACGTAGTTTAGACGTACCTTAATTCTTTAGCAGACAGTGCATAGACAACGGCAGCCCCACTGGGTTTAATATATTTCAATATACTCACAGCAATCTGCCCACTCACTATCAGTCGCAACATTAGGACCTAAGTTGGTAGTTTTAACTCCTTAAACTAAAATGTTTACATTTTGCTTTTGGGGATTAACTAATAAAAAGAGATTAAATCCCTACAAGCTCTATTTTAACAAAAGAAACATAAAAACATTTACAATTAGCTATATTTTTCTGCAATTGTTAAAAATACACAATAGATTTGGTTTTAAATATTAAAAGATAGTTGGGAAACTTCTGACTAGAAACTAATTGCATCTCAAATGAAACTCCATTTCTGAAAGCAGAACACGGATAAATCTTTTAGGAAAATGTTCTACTATTGTATATTATACCTTGCTATAAATTAATGTTAGATTACATACAATAGTGGAATACAGTCATTCCATAAGCAAGCACATGTTCTCCAATATTAGTTAATTTTTGTCACTCTCACCTCAACATCTTGGACAGTCCGGGGCTGTGCAATGCATAGTTTGTTTAGAAGCTGAAGTATCAACTCTTCGATATAATAGAGGGAATCTTCTTTTGCTGAAAAACTGGGATGAACCTGTTGCTGAACCTGCACAATAGATATTATTCAATCAGAAGCTGCACTGATGATACGTCCGGGAGCATACGTAGCAAAAACAGACTAAAAGTTCTGCATATTTATAGACTCATAGACTTTAAGGTCAGAAGGGATCATTATGATCATCTAGTCTGACCCCCTGCACAGTGCAGGCCACAGAATCTCACCCACCCCCTCCTAGAATAATCCTCTCACCTATATCTCAGATATTGAAGCCTTCAAATACTTTGAAGGCCCCAAGATGCAGAGAATCCTCCAGCTGTGATCTGTGCCCCATGCTACAGAGGAAGGCGAAAAACCTCCAGGGCGTCTGCCAATCTACCCTGGAGGAAAATTCCTTCCCGACCTCAAATATGGCGATCAGCTAAACCCTGAGCTGATTTAACAGTCTTGCAAATTCCCATGCATTTGGGGTGAGTTGATTTAGTTGGGGTTGGTCCTGCGTTGGGCAGGGGGCGGGACTCGATGACCTCCTGAGGTCTCTTCCAGCCCTAGGATTCTAGTAGGAAGCTTTCCTATGCAGTACAAACAATGGCATCAACTCATGCCATTATCAAGCTTTTCATTTAATCTTAAACCTAAATATAGCTAAGAAAACTGTAAAAAATGTAAACCAAAAGCAGAATGATGGTACACAGCTGCCTGGACAGTGAAAAAGCAACTGTAGAAGTAAGTTCCCCTTACTTTACCACAGCTTCAGCAGTAGAATGAGTGAAGAAAAAGTTGTAACTGCCTCCACTAAAAATAGCAGTATTGATTTGTTTTTTTTGGGGGGGAGAGGAAGGTCAGAAAAAGAATTAATAGACAGGAGGAAGTGAATTGAAGAAGCGGGATGCTGAGAAAAGAGAACTGATGAATCTCACAGGGAACAGAATAAATTACTTGGAAGTAAAAGAAAAGGCCCAGGGACAAGTGGATTTGAGAATGGATTGGGTAACTCAATGTAAGTCAGAGCTGAGAAGTGGGTGAAACAACAAGAAAATTCCTGTTTAGTGTGAGAAAAATGTGAAGCATGTATTTGTAAAAGAAGTTGAAATTGTATGAAATGTGCATGGATGAGCAAGAGAAAAAAAGGTGTTCCAGTGTGTGTCGAAATTAGGCACAAATTGAGGGTAGCTAATCTCAACCTTTTGTCTACCATACTCACAAGCTGACAATACCTTTTACCTCAAATTAGCTTCTTAAGATCAACTGTAGGCTTCCCCTTACCAAGGCCAACCTCCACGAGCTAAACTGAGATAAGACTATACCTAGACTTTAGTGAGGCATTTGATACGGTCTCGCATGATATTCTTATCAATAAACTAGGTAAATACAACTTAGATGGGGCTACTATAAGGTGGGTGCATAACTGGCTGGATAACCATACTCAGAGAGTAGTTATTAATGGTTCACAATCCTGCTGGAAAGGCATAACAAGTGGGGTTCCACAGGGGTCTGTTTTGGAACCGGCTTTGTTCAATATCTTCATCAACGATTTAGATATTGATATAGAAAGTACGCTTATTAAGTTTGCAGATGATACCAAGCTGGGAGGGGTTGCGACTAATCTGCAGGATAGGGTCACTAATTCAAAATGACTTGGACAAATTGGAGAAATGGTCTGAGGTAAATAGGATGAAGTTTAAGACAAATGCCAAGTTCTCCACTTAGGAAGGAACAATCAGTTTCATACATACAGAATGGGAAGCGACTGTCTGGGAAGGAGTACGGCAGAAAGGGATTTAGGGGTTATAGTGGACCACAAGTTGAATATGAGTCAGCAGTGTGATGCCGTTGCAAAGAAAGCAAACATAATTCTGAGATGCATTAACGGGTGTTGTGAGCAAGACACGAGAAGTCATTCTTCCGCTCTACTCTGCGCTGGTTAGGCCTCAATTGGAGTATTGTGTTCAGTTCTGAGCACCGCATTTCAAGAAAGATGTGGAGAAATTGGAGAGGGTCCAGAGAAGAGCAACGAGAATGATGAAAGGTCTAGAGAACATGACCTATGAGGGAAGGCTGAAGGAATTAGGTTTGTTTAGTTTAGAAAAGAGAAGATCGAGGGGGAACATGATAGCAGTTTTCAGATATCTAAAAGGGTGCCATAAGGAGGAGGGAGAAATCAGCAGCGGCTGAATCTGGACGCCAGTTCCAACTTACATACAGATTCAACTTAAGAACAAACATACAGTCCCTATTTTGTACGTAACCCGGGGACTGCCTGTAGTGGGATTCCGCAGGGGTCTGTTCTGGGACCGGCTCTGTTCAATATCTTCATCAACAATTTAGATATTAGTATAGAAAGTACACTTATTAAGTTTGCAGATGATACCAAGCTGGGAGGGGTTGCGACTAATCTGGAGGATAGGGTCATAATTCAAAATGACCTGGACAAATTGGAGAAATGGTCTAAGGTAAATAGGATGAAGTTGAATAAAGACAAATGCAAAGTGCTCCACTTAGGAAGGAACAATCAGTTTCATACATACAGAATGGGAAGCGACTGTCTGGGAAAGAATACGGCAGAAAGGAATCTAAGGGTTATAGTTGACAAGTTGAATATGAGTCAGCAGTTTGATGCTGTTGCAAAGAAAGCAAACATGATTCTGAGATGCATTAACAGGTGTGTTGTGAGCAAGACACGAGAAGTCATTCTTCCGCTCTACTCTGCGCTGGTTAGGCCTCAATTGCAGTATTGTGTTCAGTTCTGGGCACCGCAGTTCAAGAAAGATGTGGAGAAATTGGAGAGGGTCCAGAGAAGAGCAACGAGAATGATTCAAGGTCTAGAGAACATGACCTATGAGGGAAGACTGAAGGAACTGGGTTTGTTTAGTTTAGAAGAGAGAAGATTGAGGGAGGACATGATAGCAGTTTTCAGGTATCTAAAAGGGTGTCATAAGGAGGAAGGAGAAAACTTGTTCATCTTGGCCTCTGGGGATAGAACAAGAAGCAATGGGCTTAAACTGCAGCAAGGGAGGCTTAGGAACTTTTTCCTAATGTTCAACCTGTCAGGGTGGTTAAACATTGGAATAAATTGCCCAGAGAGGTTGTGGAATCTCCATCTCTGAAGATATTTAAGAGTAGGTTAGATAAATGTCTATCAGGGATGGTCTAGACAGTATTTGGTCCTGTCATGAGGGCAGGGGACTAGACTCGACCTCTCAAGGTACCTTGCAGTCCTAGTATTCTATGATTCTAAGATACACTACCCTGCATCTATACTAACAAATGTCACAGTTTGCCAACATGGTTTAGCAACTCTGTTTTATCCTGGATCTCTATTCTCAAATTCAACAAACACTGAGAGAAAATCCAGATGCCCAATTCATCCCAGGAGATGAAACAGGAAAAAGCAATACTTCTATCTTAAATTATAGCCTCCCCACAAAAAATCCACACAAGACACAATCAAGGGAAATTCCCCATTTTTCTGCACAAATTATAGATTGTCATCTTAATAAGACACTTGAGCTTGCTGGGAAGAAGACTGTGGGATACCGTATCAAAAACTTTGCTAAAGTCAAGGTACATCACATCCACTACTTTCCCCATATCCACAGAGCCAGTTATTTCATCATAGAAGGCAAAAAGGTTTGTCAGGCATGACTTGCCCTTGGTGAATCCATGGTGACTGTTCCTAATCACCTTCCCCTCCTCCGAGTCTTTCCAAATGGATTCCTTGAGGACCTGCTCCATAATTTTTCCACTAACTGAGGGGAGGCCAACCAGTCTGTAGTTTCCCAGATTCTCCTTCTAAATAATGCACTTTTCCCTCCCAGAATTTGCAGGGACAGGTGTGCTGACTGAACTGTAGCAGCACTTTGATTGGATGGAAAGGAAGGACCCAGCTCTCAATGCATGCAATCAGCACGGATCTCACTTCATGTGCCCTTGCTTTCTGTGCATGTTACTTTTGTAATACGGGTAGGAAAAAAAACTATATGGATGAAAACCAGCATAATCTGTGCGGGGCTAAACAAATGTCTCGTAGGCCACACATAGAACTCCAATGGGCCGCAGGTTTCCCACCACTGCTTAACCTGTTCTTTCATCACTGAGGGCTGCTCACTTCCTCCCCATACCGTGCTGCCTAGTGCAACAGTCTAGGAGCTGACTTTGTGAAGACTGAGGCAAAAAAAGGTACTGAATACAGGTTGGACCTCTCTAGTCTGGCACCCTCGGGACCTGACCGGTATCAAACCAGAGAATTTACCGAACCACAGAAGGTCAATATAATCTAGCAGCAAGAACCAAACTTCCACTGCTTACTGGGCTCTTAGAAGAGATTAGAGCTAAACAACAGCACAGAACATAGGGTCAGGACTAGTGGCTGTAAACAAACTTTATGGGATCATGGGAAACTTGGCCACACCCATGATAAGTGGACATTTGGCTAACTAAAATCATGCCAGAACACGGATGCTGCTGGACCAGAGAGGTTCAACTTGTACTTCAGTTTTTTCCATATCATCTATTACTAGGTTGCCTTCCCTGTTCAGTAAGGGTTCCACACTTTCCTTGACCTTCTTTTTGCTAACATAAAACTGTAGAAACCCTTTGTGTTATCCCTCACAATCCTTGCTAGCTGCAACTCCAATTGCACTTTGGCCTTCTTGATCACACCCCTGCAGCATTGAGCAATATTCCTCCCTAATTATCTGTCCAAGTTTCCATTTCTCGTAAGCTTCCTTTTTGTGTTTAAGCTTACTGAAGATTTCTCTGTTAAGCCAATCTGGTTGCCTGCTGTATTTGCTATTCTTTCTACACACTGGAATGGTTTGTTCCTGAACCTCAGTAAGGCTTCTTTAAAATGCAGGCAGTCCCCAGGTTACGTACAAGATAGGGACTGTAGGTTTGTTCGTAAGTTGAATTTGTATGTAAGTCGGAACTGGTACATATTGTAGGGGAAACTCTACCCAAACATTTCTCCAGAGCTCAGTTTTATTCTCCCACACCTCACTTCCCTCAGTCCTTTATTCTCAAGCTGAGGTGTCTGCTGAGAAAAGCCGCTCCGCTTC